GACCCTCTCATATTCAACACATTGCAGATACCCATCAACACACCCTACAAAACGAAACTCCGATATTATATTTCTATCAAAAAAACTGGTCCAAGCAGTTCTCGAAAAGCGAAAGCTAACCTTCCAGGGAAGAAGCAACATTCTTGAAATTTTTAACCACCAATTTGTGCAAATCCTCTCCTGACCATATGGGGTAAATACATATGTTTATCACCAAACACATGCCCGCCCCAAGGAAGATGAGCAACAGACGGTAAAGAGCGGTGATGTAGAAGGTTCTCGAATTGTTTCCGGATATCAGTACGATACAAAACGTCAACAAGAATACCCGGAAACCGTATTCGTACGGCTTCATCGGAGGGTACAATTTGCAATAGCTTGTAACAAATCCTAAAGCAGAATGAAAGCTCATGAGTTACAACGTTGAATGATCTTGTGACAGTAAATATTTTTATTAAACTGATAGAACTCCCAACCTGCTATGAAAATGCTTATCAAAATGATAACTTCTTCGTACTTTCCGAACATTATCGATAGTTCTGCGATTCCTAAAGCCATAGCTCCGGCAGAGAAAGTCCCGATAGCTCGATTGAACCCTTTGTTAAGTGTTGCACCTACATTCAGATATATTACATATAAACCAAATGGTGGTAGTGTGCAAATGAATGTTGAATCATATATATATATACATCTATATATGTACCATGTATGTACCTACGCTGAATTCGAAAACGACGACGACGGTGAGAATGGCCCAGATAGAATATTGACTAGCACCCTGTAGAGGCTCTTTGAAAAGCATAAGCAGCGATGCAGACGTTAACGAAAGCCCCATTTTCATGGCGAAAACGACCTTACGAGGATCTGATCGCCCCATCTTATATAGTTTAGCCGAGACATCTCGCACGCTCTTCCAGAATTTATCAATGGGATCGAGACATGATCGTAAACACCGGCATCTAAATCGATCCTCGGCGGCATTTCGATTGCCGAACCTTAATTCCGAAATCCCTTTAGTTTGAAGCAGCCTTTCTTTACTCTCTCTACCCCACATAAAAGACCTCTCTGCCATTTCTGCAACAAAAGAATATCAAACTACGAAAACAAGATTCAATGGTGCTTGATCAACGTGAGTACCGAATGCTAGATTGAAAAGCAGTTGTTGGTAGAGTTTGAAGCTGCCTTTCTTTACTCTCTCTAGCCCTGTTTCATGTTATGTTTCTTTCATTTTTCTGAGAAGGAAAACAAGGTAAGCTTGAATGTATCATAAAACTTCTTAAATGAGAGAGATTTCAAAACTTTTGGACAATGACTTGCACTTGGCGGTCCTCACTCAACCCTCGGCCTAACACCGGCTCGTCGCATGTCCCACAACCACCGTTAAGGACGGCTAGTTGGTGCCATGACCCATGTGATACAATAAGATCAAATTTATCATCGTTGGTTATGGTAAAAAGGAGTTTTTTTAGAAGCAAGGAATATGACAGAATAAACATATCTGTACAGGATATTAATATTTATTGTTACCATATCTGAGGTAATGTGTTAGGTGCATCATAATAAAGTTTGTTATCAACTTACCATATAATTGGATTATTTAGTCATTTCAGTCCATATATATAACTTAGGATTTACGTGTATATCAGCGTAGAATTTTTAGTTTTTATAATTTTAGGATAATTGTATGAATGGATATAGAATAATAAAATAATGGAGTTATCTTTTTGTTTTTGTTTTTTTTTTCACTGAATTTCTTCTCATATATTAATGTTAATTTCAGTCGTCTATTATTACTCATATAACAATCCTAAAAAGATGTAAGATTAAAAAGTTTTACCAGTGTAAATGGATCATGTCTTATATATATAGGCTAGGATCCAATTATATAGTGTATAACTTTTTAGTTTTATATTGTTTTAGGATCGTTAGATGAGAGAAATCAGACATTAACAGTAAGAAATGAGAATATATTCATCGGGGGAATATGAGTTAATCTCAGCCTTTGGTTTCCTTTTATCTAACAATCTTAAAAGGGTGTAAAACTTTTAGTTTTACACTAGGCGTAAGTGGATTCTTAGATGAGTGAAAATAGACGGATTAGATTATCTTTTTTTTATTTTTTCCACCGAATATCTTCTCATTTCCTACGTCATCTCAGCTCTGTTTTGAAAACCGGACCGGCCGGTTCAACCGGGAACCGTTGCTTAGTCCGGTTCAATCTAAACCGGTTGAACCGTTATTAGTGAACCGGCCAGAACCGTTGAACCGTTCGAACCGGACCGGCTGAAAACCGGTAAAAACCGGGAAAACCCAGGAAAAACCGGGTTTTTTGGTTTTTTTTTTTAAATTAAACCAAACAACGTCGTTTGTTAAACGAGCCAAATCGAACTCGAGTATTGCTGAGCTCGACTCGAACTTGAAAACTTTAAAAGTAAGCTCAACTCAACTCAAACTCACAAGCTAAAAATTATCAAGTTCAACTCAAACTCGAAATATAATATTGAAACTTGAACTCAAAAAGGCTTGAACTCAAAAAAAAATTAGAAGCTCGATTGAAGCCTAAAATTTGAGCTTGATTGAAGTGAAAGAATAGTTATATAATTTTGTTATGATTTTTTAACCCCAAATTTATTTTTTTATTATAGTTATATAATTATATTTATTATTTAATATGTTTTACCTTAAATATTATGTTGTAGTTAATTTGAATCATTTTGTTTTACTTGATTTTATGGTTTTTAACTTATATATGTTATGAATTGCTTTGAATATGACTTGTGATATAAAAAATTATTTTTTATTAAATATTTTTGGTATTTTTATTTAATTTTTTAAATAATTATGACGTCGTCCAGTTCTTTCGACCGGTCGGACCGATTCGACCGGTTGAACCAGTGAATCGGTAGCATGATCGGTTCGCTAAACGATCCGGTTCTGAAAACCATGATCTCAGTCATCTATTCCACTCATCCAATTATCCTAAAATTGTATAAAACTAAAAGTCTTACTCTATGTGTAAGTTGGTCATGTCACACCCACGCATACATGACATAATATCAAAAAAATGTTTTCTTTTAGCATTTTTCCCGTAACAGTTTACGTTAATCCTTTTTTTTTAAATATTTCAACTCTCAACATTTTATTTTATAATAAAAAATCTTCTTATTTTAAAACGTTGACTATTTATTGATAATTATTATCGATATATATTTTTCTTCCTTCACAATGTTATCTCATTTTCAATACGAATATAACTATCTTGTGATCCGAACATCACATTTCCAATGTTTTACTAACAAAATCCATCAATTCAACCCAAGATTTCTTGATTTTTTTTTTCTCTCATAACTTTCCATCGACTTCGTTTGCCCTTAAGCTGACCAAAAGAGGCTGCTTTGCCCCACTGTTCGCCATGTTGGCCACCCCTTTTCACCACTTTCTTCACTGCGCAACAATTCTGCATGATCCCAGAAGTTTAGAAAATGAAAATAAAACTCGTAATAATTAAAACAAGTAGAAGCGTTATAATGCAACCGGATCAGCTTCAACAAAGCATTCACGGACATACTTAAAATATGTTTTAAAGAGTAGTACTTTGGAGGCCATATTGATTCAGAAACTGACATATAAACAGAGAAATAGACAATCACTTAATCGTAGACTATATATCAACGATGGAGGAAAGAGCCAACGAGGAGAAAAAGGAACGAAGGAAGATAAAGATACCAGGCTACTCTTTTGTTTATTGCTAAAGCTCTTTTAATATTGGGCTTTTTTTGTTTCAATTGGGTGAGGCATTTGTTCGAACAGACACTAGGCTTGTTTCCCTTGTGGGCTCTGCTACTACAGCCTGGGGATGGCAATCGGCCCTAGTCCATCGATAGTAATGCTTTGGGAACAGTTGTGAAGTCAAAATCATCCATTTACATTAATTAATTTAATTTTACATATTTTTTAATTAATAGTAGTTGTAATTTTATTGAATAAATAAGAAATCCAATACATTTATAATATGAGCCTACAAAAACTAGAGTAGATTAATCATATTAATCGGCCATTTCTCTCAAAACTATTAAAGTGCACAAATTATTAAGGAATAAAACAAGACTATATAAGAAAAGGATTAAAACACAACTAAATAACTCGAAAAATAATATATAAAATGAAGATTATTGTTACTGATGAAAGATATACATAATCACCATTAATATAAAAATAGTCAATAATCAGTTAATTTAGTGTTGTGAAATACTAAATTCTTTAAACAATGTCAGAGATTTAAACCCTGACGTTTACAATACAAACTAGGCTGAGAAGATTATCCTTATAATAAGTTTCTATAAAATCCAATCTAAATTAAAATCCTCCAATTATACTGTATGATTTATATCAAACTTTTCCATGTGCAATTAATCATTGCAAAACAAAATGCCATTAGTGGGTGAAAAAGAGACATCATGAAAAAGTTGGAAAAAGCATTATTCACCCAATCTCTTTTGCTTCCTAAATTAGAGGGAAGGTTTGCCGAACCAATAAGTTTTAGGCATAATATTCAAACTCAACTCCAATATTTTACAAAATAATGAATTTAATCTTTATTTTTATTAAATACTAATCTTCAACGTTTTATTGTGAAATAAAATGATTTGTAATTAGATGAAAACCATTAATTATTTAATAGTTATTGTTTATCGCTAACGTGATAAGTCATGTATGTCCAAAGACATGTCATGTCATCACTTTATATACGACATATGTTCTGTTGTGACTTATATGTTCTGTTGTGACTTATGTACATGTGTCATTGTTACGTCATCGCTTTGAACACGTTATTATATATCATATCATCACGTATATACAAATGACATATGTTACATTATCACTTTAAACGTATAAAATTTATCAAGTCATCACTATTCAATCAAATATAAGGGTCTATTTTAGTATCATGCCTACAAATTAAGGAATTTGGGACATTCTACATACAAATTTCAATGTCCATAATCATTTACATATTTCTAGTTGCCCCCCATGGTATCATAATTTTCTGCACATTCTTCCATTCAATCAAAGCTTTTCAAGGTCTAATAATGGACTAAGGGACGGTTTCGTCAGCTGAAAGAAAACTCGAGCACACCAATCACTGGCCAGTGGTGATTTGCTCTGTTTGTCCACCGTTAATCTCATTGATTTCCAGTATCTCCACTCTCCGATTCATCTTCTTCCTTACCTTTATCGCCACATCCGACGGTCTAAACCTCCCACATACGCTTATCTTGCATTGCTCCTTCTCTATCGCATATGTCTCTATTTCTTCAACGTCGGAAACCAGACAAAGATTGTTCAAACTTATGACAGAAAAACGACCCAGAAATTTTATGTCTGTTAGTGGAGAATTTACCTTTCATATTAAGAAGGGTTCTTCTTAGTTTCCTGAAACATCCATGGCAGTCTATGTTAACTCTCATCACCATGCAACAGAGCTGCTAACATGCAAATTGAGAAGAAGAAAGAAACGAAGAATCATCAGTGTTAACTCTCTCTAAATATATTAATTTGGTAATTAGTATGAGCTAATCCTTAATATAAGTTTAAAATTTAAACTTGCCCTTCCTGACATGAAGACTTAGAACTGATTAAAGAAAATTAAGATCAATGACTGGAAAATCTGGTTTTTGGTTGCAGAAACTAGTGGAATTAAAGGGATGAAATTTGATTCTCTAATCCTGTGTTAACCTGTACAGGATTCTGAAGTATCCTTTTCTTATTTCAAAAAGGTTCCTTTTTGCATTAAATTTAAGCATCAGTTACCTTTGGTTATAGCTTACCTGAAAGACAAGAAAAATAATACTTATACTTTGAAGAAAATATATAGCAAAGATCAAGAACTTGGGTGATAACTTCAAATACATCCAACAATGCTCTGCGTTTCTATGAACAAGTTAGATATGACAAACAGAAAAACTAGGAACAAAATCATCTTACAACAATAAAGTATATCAACAAGAATATTCATAACACGAAGAATTCCGTTGCATTTTGGAATCATCGCCGGGAAGATCTGATGAACTTCTTGATGATGGACATTGTGCTGACAGGCTTCCTGTGAATAACAGGAACTTCGGATGAAGCCGACTTGGGGTATGTGCAAGTGAGTGTGACCTTATTCTCCAACACATTTACCAAAACAGAATCCGTATCTGCTAAGAAACAATATCATTAGGGTCTGGGTTATTGCATTAAAGAAAAGATCAAGTAAGCAACTATCATTATGCTTTATGCACGTTGATATGAAACAGGGCACCACAACATATTAGAGAATAGAGACTGTGAAACTGAAGTTTTAAGATACTGAAGAAAACATACCATTCATTCTCGAGATCATGTCTGCAATTTTCTTTTGACAATCTGCACATCCAATATCTGCTGAAATAACAACTTCGTGGACCTGCAGTTTCAGCAAATAGAAATAGAACACACCAAAACATGTTAAGATCAGTTCTCTCAAAGAGGAAAAAGAATGACACAGAGAGAATGAAAGCACAAACAAGAGGCATGGATAAGGATTCAACAGAGGCAAGGCTGGTTCCAGGAAGCAGAAAGCTCTTTGGGTTGTCGAATTCAACTCTTCTGGACACTTTCTTATGCGCCTGACTGAGCAGAACCATAGCTTCTTTACCTACTGAAGGACTTCATACAGAAGAAAAAGGTGGTTCCAGTTCGATCTCAAGACTGAAAGCACTGCACCACTTGCCTCCTTTTTAAACTGAGCGATTTAAAGAACAACCCCATTCTTTCGAGGATGGAGAAAGAGCATCTTAAGCTGGTAATCAGCGAATTGGCGAAAAGGGATCATTTTCAAGCCTAGTTGAAAGATACCTTCAAGTCACACAAGGTGTGACCCACGCCTTTCTTTTTTCATTTTTATTTTTCACTGAAAATTTGTCATCTATAATAATTATGTCTTAACCAAATTACATATGAGACCAACTTTGAGTTCATTTAATATATCATGTCATAATCACACTTAGGGTGTAAATGAAATAAATCGAATTTATATATTGTTGAGTTTCACTCGACTCGAAAAAGTTTAAAATTGAGTTCGACTTGATTAGAAAACATACGAATTTAAAATTTCATACGATCTTTCTCATCTTATTAATCGAACTTGAACTGAATAAAACTTGAATTACATACTATCTTTGTAACACCCCCAACCCGTATCCGACCCGGATACGAGTCCGAAGTGTCACATTGACTTTTCAAACATTTATTCGTATAAATTAGTGAGTAATTTAAAAAAACTTTGATAACATTTACATTATTTCAAAACGTTTACAACAGATATCAGAGTTCATACCATTTATATCTTTAGACTACATGCCAACTACACTCTGTAAACAGTACATACATTTTCTGATCTGACATTTGGTAAGGAGAACTGACCTGTCTTGCTCCGCATTACTCTTTATTCTTCTCGAAACCTACGTGTGAAACAATCACACGCTAAGTCGTTGACTTAGTGAGGCAATAATTAAACATATAACAATACATTCATGAACGTGCATTCATACCATTGAATCGTGACATTTCAATATGCATGTATCTATTGCATGATAACAATATATATAATCATGTCATACACACACGCAACATATCTTCTTGTATTACTTTCACTTTTTGTTTGTCTTCCAATTGCATTGCCCATGTATATTATTATCTTTATCAACATCATTATAATTCAAGCAACACATGACATATCACCATAAGTATATACATCACATATATCTTATACATTACATTCCATGTTATCTCTTATTAGCCCATGTGCACCTGTGAGAACTGTAGATATGTGAGTCTATTGAGGTTGTGCACCACTATGCTGTCACCACAGCTCATATAAATGTCCCGAAGGACCTATCCAGAGGTCACACAGACCCCGGTAACTATCCAGAGGTCATAAAGATCCTCGGTAACTGTCCAGAGGTCATAAAGATCCTCGGTAAACTGTCCATATATTCCTTAGAACATAGATATACTGTCCATATGTCTCGAAAGACATAGGTAAAACTGTCCATATGTTCCGTAGAACATAGGTAAACCCTCGACTCTTGGCATGCCAACTATACCCCTAGCTCTCATATCACATAACATGGGCATTATCATTTATTTCATTTCAAATATTCACATACACTTGTAATTCACTTTCACATATCACGTATCACATAGCTTCTTTTCATATTATCACATAGTCACGTAGTTCACTTACACGTAGATCATTTCCATATAATTCACAGGTCACATATATCATGTTTTCATATAATTTCTATCATTTCTCACCCAATCACCTTTATTCATATAACCATACTTATCATATCTTGTTCACATAAGATCATATACTATGGGCATTTATTTATACATTTCGTATCACTTGTTCTTTCTCTTCTGTCACATACCACAGGTATGTGTAACCATATATCTCATATCATATCACCTGTATCACAAGTGCATGTATTCACGTAGATCGTTTCATATGACTTATACCATTTCTCATTTGTTCATGTAACTTGCATGTCATATCATGTAACATATAACACATAATCATATAGGCTTACGGTTTTATCACCTATCATGTTATTTCACTTATACACTTTTATATCACATAAACTCATATATATAGATCATGTCACATAACTTATCTCATAACTTATTTGATATTCCTATATATTCTCATCTTATAACTTATATTACCTATGCATATAACCTTATGAGCTATTCTTATATTACCCTATATCAACCATACTTTGTTTATCTCACTTTTCATATCATTCATTCAAAAGCATGTTAACACATATAATCATGCATACATACAATTTATGTCATGCATATACATATAATCATATATTCATGCATTAAACATAGGAAATAGACTTGTCACAAGTCTTGTTTCCATTTAGCACCATAAATGAATTAATATGCACTCACCTTAGCTTTGCTTTGATTCGATTATAATCCTTTGATTATTCCGGAACTTGTTTAGGCTCAATATCTACATAAATATATCATTTCAAAACAACTATCAGAAGCCTAAACTTTAAACTTGATGTTAATAACTTAAACCGGTTTAATGAATCAAATTCTATATTTTCATTTAGGGGGGAATCGGTTCCCTCCTGTGGGGGTATCGGTTCCCCTCTGGCATTCTGGAATTCTATGTTCGTTTGAGGGGGTATCGGTTCCCCTTGAATAGGTACCGATTCCCCTTGCCCAGAATCACATTTTTGAGCTCGAAATTCACTTCATTTCAGCTCCATACCTCATACTTCACTTCCATTAATATTCCTAACTTTCATACACATACTTAAACTTATTTCTATTCCATAATCACTTCTTTAACTTCAAATCTAGTCATTCCTATGTAATTTCAAAAATTATACTAGTTTTGCAACATGTTCAAATTCATATTCTAACACTTCCTATCCCTTAATTAACTTGATGACAAGTCAAATTCAACTTTCAATTCTCAATATAAACTTTATTTTGATATTTCATTCAAAAACTTCAAATCTTTAAATCCTCATAAACTCTTCACTTTGTTGTTTTAAAGCAAATTAATCCTTCCTTAATCTTACTTAGCATCTAATAATCAAAACTAAACTTAAATTTCAGCACATAATCAGCTCAAGAGAAAACTCACCTTTGCTTGGCTTCACACGTGGAGAAGAGAAATGAAGAAGAAAAGAGAGAAGAGATTTTTCTGGAAAATCTCCCATCCTTATCCATATATATATCATTTAATTATAATTTTCAAGTCTAATGACCATTTTGCCCTTTAATTCTTTGGAAAATTACTATAAACTTTTAGGAAATATTTCTGAACAAATCATTAAACTATTAAACTATTATACTTTAATCACCATATTCTGAAATTTTACAATTTTGGTCACTAACCCGTATTTTGGGATGTTACAAATCTTCCCCCCTTAAGAAAATTCGTCCTCGAATTTTCATTGCATCCCTTAATAAGAACATATCTTCTAATGTTCTTATGTTGCTTCCCTGACTTATTCATTCTTGTCATTATCATAAACTTACTTTTCAATCCTTTAGTTTTCCAACTATCTTTTTCGTTTATACATTCCTCTTCTGTTGCTTATCATATAAACAATAACCAGTAATATCAATCCATTGTTGTCTTTTCTCTCATTCGACTATGCATTTTTCCTTTGACCTTTCTACAATTCCATATAATGTCACTCATCACGTTGACAGTAACATCCATCTCATCACTCTATATCATAAATCCATATATTTCTTCATAACTCTCTAATTACCTTATAGCCATACCAACTTGTCTTTCGTCATCATTTGACCAAAACACAACTTTAAATTTCTTCAATTGTGATAAAACATATACTTTAAGGAGTCAGACAATATTTTCACATCACCTTGCACACTTTTCGTGTTTCTATATCGAACTTATCATTTACACTTCCATACGAATCCTCACTTCATTCACTATATCACATTTACGTAATCAAAATATACAACTATATCCAATACAATTTCATCACAAAATCTTGTTAGTCAACGCTAACTCTTTCATTCTAAAGTACAAATCCTTATCATCTCCACACTCTTTCTTATACACAATACTATCCCTTTGTTTAAAATTCATAACTCTGATTTCATTCATATAATGTTACTTATCCTGTAGACAGTAACATCAATTCTTATCACTCAAAAATTTAAAAAAAATCAATCAATTGATTTCTTTTCCTCATTTTCTAATTAATTCACCGCAATCCAAACTTTTACTTATTCTTTCATCCTTGTCTGTATTACGATACACATAATCTCTTCATATAACCTTAAATACTTTTCTTACTTCTAATCAAACTTATAATCTGCACTTCCTTATAATCATTTATCATTTTTAATCCTTTCATTATCAAAATCTTCTTATAACATAACTAAACTCTATCTTTTCATAACTTTGATAATCAACCTTACTTGTACAGAACCTCATTCTTATCATCTATTGTACTTGTATTTCCTTCAAACATACAAATCTTTATCTTCTTCACCACAACACCTTACAATGATCAAACTATACAACTGTATCCAAATCCTCTTCATATTTGGCTATCATAACCTGTCAATATATTATAATTCCATTACATTTTCATCACATACTCTTGTTAGCCAATGCTAACTATTTCCATCTAGAATACAAACTCTTTTACAAACAATAACCACATCACTTGATCTTTTAACATCCTTATGGTGACACTCGTTCACCATATTCCATCTTATCCACATAATAACAAACTTCTCAATTTAATTTCTCCACTATGGAGAAATGAACATCTTCTAGCATTATCTTCATATCATATACCCAAAGGTCTGTAACAACAGAACCTTCCTCAAATTCACCCTTGAACTCGGGTGCACTTAACTCTATTCGATCCATTCATTCTATGAGTTAACAAAGTATACAATTAAAAACACATCGGAATATCATTCAACATCATGAATCATCCTCTAATCTTATACAGATATTCCCTAAGGTTTTCGCTCTTCTCCCTGCCTGGCCAGGGCAGGTGAATGCTATTACTCTCAGGCATATCGCCTTGTGCTTCACTTTGGAAGCTCTCATATATTCATGTGCTCATATCCTTACTTCTATTACATATCACGTGTGCATATGATCATCCAATTCATATCATATAACGTATGTCATTTGTATATGTTCACATATCATCTATCATATTATATAAACACATATATATATCTCATAACTCATTCTCAGTATTCACTTATCTTATATCACATAACAATTTAACTCTATCAACAAGACATCACACTCCTTACCCTATCAGATCAGAAATTTTTCACTCTATGTTGGCATGTACATATTTTATTACACTTTGGACTTCGGTTTATGCCGAGAATCGGCTAAACCTTAGCTCTGATACCATTAAATGTAACACCCCCAACCCGTATCCGACCCGGATACGAGTCCGAAGTGTCACATTGACTTTTCAAACATTTATTCGTATAAATTAGTGAGTAATTTAAAAAAACTTTGATAACATTTACATTATTTCAAAACGTTTACAACAGATATCAGAGTTCATACCATTTATATCTTTAGACTACATGCCAACTACACTCTGTAAACAGTACATACATTTTCTGATCTGACATTTGGTAAGGAGAACTGACCTGTCTTGCTCCGCATTACTCTTTATTCTTCTCGAAACCTACGTGTGAAACAATCACACGCTAAGTCGTTGACTTAGTGAGACAATAATTAAACATATAACAATACATTCATGAACGTGCATTCATACCATTGAATCATGACATTTCAATATGCATGTATCTATTGCATGATAACAATATATATAATCATGTCATACACACACGCAACATATCTTCTTGTATTACTTTCACTTTTCGTTTGTCTTCCAATTGCATTGCCCATGTATATTATTATCTTTATCAACATAATTATAATTCAAGCAACACATGACATATCACCATAAGTATATACATCACATATATCTTATACATTACATTCCATGTTATCTCTTATTAGCCCATGTGCACCTGTGAGAACTGTAGATATGTGAGTCTATTGAGGTTGTGCACCACTATGCTGTCACCACAGCTCATATAAATGTCCCGAAGGACCTATCCAGAGGTCACACAGACCCCGGTAACTATCCAGAGGTCATAAAGATCCTCGGTAACTGTCCAGAGGTCATAAAGATCCTCGGTAAACTGTCCATATGTTCCTTAAAACATAGGTATACTGTCCATATGTCTCGAAAGACATAGGTAAAACTGTCCATATGTTCCGTAGAACATAGGTAAACCCTCGACTCTTGGCATGCCAACTATACCCCTAGCTCTCATATCACATAACATGGGCATTATCATTTATTTCATTTCAAATATTCACATACACTTGTAATTCACTTTCACATATCACGTATCACATAGCTTCTTTTCATATTATCACATAGTCACGTAGTTCACTTACACGTAGATCATTTCCATATAATTCACAGGTCACATATATCATGTTTTCATATAATTTCTATCATTTCTCACCCAATCACCTTTATTCATATAACCATACTTATCATATCTTGTTCACATAAGATCATATACTATGGGCATTTATTTATACATTTCGTATCACTTGTTCTTTCTCTTCTGTCACATACCACAGGTATGTGTAACCATATATCTCATATCATATCACCTGTATCACAAGTGCATGTATTCACGTAGATCGTTTCATATGACTTATACTATTTCTCATTTGTTCATGTAACTTGCATGTCATATCATGTAACATATAACACATAATCATATAGGCTTACGGTTTTATCACCTATCATGTTATTTCACTTATACACTTTTATATCACATAAACTCATATATATAGATCATGTCACATAACTTATCTCATAACTTATTTGATATTCCTATATATTCTCATCTTATAACTTATATTACCTATGCATATAACCTTATGAGCTATTCTTATATTACCCTATATCAACCATACTTTGTTTATCTCACTTTTCATATCATTTATTCAAAAGCATGTTAACACATATAATCATGCATACATACAATTTATGTCATGCATATACATATAATCATATATTCATGCATTAAACATAGGAAATAGACTTGTCACAAGTCTTGTTTCCATTTAGCACCATAAATGAATTAATATGCACTCACCTTAGCTTTGCTTTGATTCGATTATAATCCTTTGATTATTCCGGAACTTGTTTAGGCTCAATATCTACATAAATATATCATTTCAAAACAACTATCAGAAGCCTAAACTTTAAACTTGATGTTAATAACTTAAACCGGTTTAATGAGTCAAATTCTATATTTTCATTTAGGGGGGAATCGGTTCCCTCCTGTGGGGGTATCGGTTCCCCTCTGGCATTATGGAATTCTATGTTCGTTTGAGGGGGTATCGGTTCCCCTTGAATGGGTACCGATTCCCCTTGCCCAGAATCACATTTTTGAGCTCGAAATTCACTTCATTTCAGCTCCATACCTCATACTTCACTTCCATTAATATTCCTAACTTTCATACACATACTTAAACTTATTTCTATTCCATAATCACTTCTTTAACTTCAAATCTAGTCATTCCTATGTAATTGCAAAAATTATACTAGTTTTGCAACATGTTCAAATTCCTATTCTAACACTTCCTATCCCTTAATTAACTTGATGACAAGTCAAATTCAACTTTCAATTCTCAATATAAACTTTATTTTGATATTTCATTCAAAAACTTCAAATCTTTAAATCCTCATAAACTCTTCACTTTGTTGTTTTAAAGCAAATTAATCCTTCCTTAATCTTACTTAGCATCTAATAATCAAAACTAAACTTAAATTTCAGCACATAATCAGCTCAAGAGAAAACTCACCTTTGCTTGGCTTCACACGTGGAGAAGAGAAATGAAGAAGAAAAGAGAGAAGAGATTTTTCTGGAAAATCTCCCATCCTTATCCATATATATATCATTTAATTATAATTTTCAAGTCTAATGACCATTTTGCCCTTTAATTCTTTGGATAATTATTATAAACTTTTAGGAAATATTTTTGAACAAATCATTAAACTATTAAACTATTATACTTTAATCACCATATTCTGAAACTTTACAATTTTAGTCACTAACTCGTATTTTGGGATGTTACAATCTTTCTCGTCTTATTATATCATCCCCTGCAGAACGACGGAAGATGTAAGATTTTGAATAGATAACACACTCTTCAAAATTGATGATGTTCCCCCAAAATGCCCAATTAATTTCCCCAATTCACTTGGTTTGAATCATGCCGATAGTTGGGTAAATTAGAATATTAAATGACTGGTCTAATTCCAATTGGCAATTTCCAGTGAGATGTAGCCCTTATTAGAAAGAAAAATAATTAAATTTATATCTGAGGATAAACTTTTATTTTTTTTATTGGCCCAAGAATAGAAAATGTTAATAATATGACATAACATGTATTATACACACTCCTTAAAGACAAATTGTATTGAAGCAAAATGTGTTATAAAAAGCTCACTGTTGAATCACGGGACAACAGCAAAAATGAAGAACCTTTATTACCAGAAAAAATAAATAAACAGAATACAAAAACAAGCAGAAATCTTCCTACATAAAACCAGGCTTGCTAAGTTAGACATCTACCAGGTAATTATCTGAAATCTACAAGGCTCTTAAGTTAGAGCCCAGCACAGGTTAACGTTACATAGAGGGAAATAGAGGAAGAGATGGATGTCATGGACTTCTCAAAATGAAAACTTCGAACAAAACGATGAGAATAATCAACAATCACCTGGTCATTACCGAGCTTGTTAGAGGCGGCACTACCGAAGAACTGAATAAGAGATCACCTATGTACTTGCAGTTATCGTTATCGACTTTTAAGGATGCAGGGATCGAAAAACATTCCGAAGAAACTAGCTGTGCAGTGCTTTTAATGAGATTCCGACTGCAATTCAGTTTCCGCAAGACTCGCATCTTTTGCTCTATCATTTCCCAATCTGGCAAGTGAGTCATTACAATCAGTTGTGTCCTTACCACTCGGACTACTCTCACTAATGGTGTTTTTGTCAAAGTTGCAATGATCGGAGTTGCTTGCATCTTGCTTTCCGACTCTGAGCACCGTACGACAAGATCACACCTTTCCTTTATATCTACTCACCGATTTCCTATCCATTCCTGAGATTGCCTTATATCACCAATGTCAAAGACTGATTCCCGCTTTTCTCCTGCAAGTAATAAATGTCAGAATTGAAAGATAAAAAATCAAAAACAACCTAACATATTTCACCATTCATGACCATGAAAAATCAAGCATATACATATACCTAGATTTTAAGGCAGTTACATACCTGGGAAATGAACACGAAATTTATCTTCTGAATCCTTCTGAACAACAAGGCCTTCCCACCACCCATCATGCCACCAGACGTCAACTACAGACCCAACATCCATACGTGAAGCACTGCCTTTAGCATAATGTGAAGATGGTCGAATGGTTGTCCGACCAGAAATACGAACACCCATTTCATCCGGAGCAGCAACCTTGGATGCCAAAACCCATTCCTATAACATAAAACCATGAATGAACATTGAACAACTCCAAAAGAAAAGGCTATGAATACGAGTTCCATTATTAATGCATACTTTCAGTTCTGCAAATTAAAAATCGAATACCTCTAATTTGTTTGCTTCATCAACTGCATCCTGGATGTCTTGGTATTGCACCTTCAACTTATTTTTGTGATTTTTTATTATCCGAGCTCGTAACCAAAACCCTCTCATACCACTATCTTGAGATGACACTTCAACCTGGGAACCTACCATCAAATGCAGAGAACATTGCTTAGCATAATCAACCTGGAAACTGAATGACTCATTTCCTTTCTGACTGTTCTGAAGATCTTGCAGATCTGCACGTGATGTATCCATTGACTCGCTACTGCCGTTAATATGTAAGTGCACAACATCATCATCTTTTGATTGACGATGTCTCTTTCTGGGCCTGATCCCAACACTATCATCAACATCCCAATCTGTTTTCCAGTCATCAGCATGGTGCTGACGAGTCACACAATCATTCAAAGGATAAGGACTATACATATATCTAAGTATATCTTGTTTCCAGTACCCCTTCAGTTGAGTCACATCAAAAGGCTTGATATCATCATTTTCAAATTGCTTACAGCATACAAATGACTCCAGCAGAGTATGCTTTGACATGTTCAAAAATTTCTTAAAATGCAGAGGATTAAGGACTGTAGCCAATCCATCAATGCATTCAATACTGAGATCTTGAAGACAAGGAGAAAAGAAAATTTCTCTGCAATTATAATTGTGACACAAGCCAATGTCAACCTCATCGATTTTATGAAACCATCGAACCACAACCATCTTGCTGCCTCTAGAGTTCTCATACAAATCTTCCAAATAGGCAACAAGTTTATCCTCCTCAGCTAAAACATAAACAAAGTCGTGAACCTGAAATGATTTTAGGAGAAAGTGACAAAAAAAGGCAAAAAAAGTAGGTAAGATTGTCAAGTTCTGAGATGCACAAAACCATAAACGACAAAGCAGCACAAATGGGAGAGTCGATAAAGACAATTATACTCACTGTAATTATTATACCACTCCTACAGAAAGACCGATAGTGTTTCCTTTTTCTCTTGCATGTCCATGAAGAACCTAACCATAAAAAATCTTTTTGGACCAACTTTTGTGATTGAAGATCCTGTAGAGAGAAAATTTCTGAATATTTGATAAATGAAAATATAACAGATAAAAGCCCAAATACTAGAAATATCATTGATGAGTGTTTAAAATCGTTAATCTTTGCTCGTTATTTCTTCGATTTTGTAGAATTATTGTTGCTGAATTGGTCGTGTTATACTTGTTTTTGTACAAGTCCTTGCTTTCCAGAATTTGTGACAAAACTAATGAATTCTGTATTTTTTTTTTATTTGGTCACGGCTGGAGACATGGGAACGACGCGGTCTGACGTGGCAGTTTCTAGAAGGTCTAGTCAGCGACGGTTTCTAGAAGACTTCGTCCGCACGCCTTCTGGAAGATTGACGAGCAGAGTTGCATTAGGAGACTAGTTTAAGTTTAAATTTAAATTTAAAAACAATTATCTTTTGTATTATTTTATTATTTTCTTTGTTTATCCTTTAGGCTTTGAGAGGCTATAAATATCCACTTGGGGTAAGCCTAAAATCATCATTCGGAATACATTCTTCTTTTCTCTTTAGTTTTTATAAAAGTTTTCTCTTTTCCTTTTCAAGTTCTTTTTAATTTTCTTTATTTTCAAGTTTTATTTTTATGCTAAGTATGACTTTTGTCATGCTTAGCTAAATTTTTCATAAGTCGAGAGCTGTCGCGATGATTCAATTCCAACGGGAGAATTGAAACGGTCCTTTAATATCTTCGGAATATCTTTCTCAATCTCTGCGCTTATTTTTCAAAAATCAAAACAGTTTTCAAAATCAAAAATTGACTTTGGTCAAGAGGTTGTTGCGAGAATTGAGATCGGAATTGACGGTTATAGAAACAACAATCTGAATTGGTCGCCACGAACTTAAACGGTATTTGATCTACAACAATAGATGTTGTTAGAATCAATTACCGAAGTCGGAATCAAAGATTGCTTTGGGTATTCGGTATACAAGATAGAGTCACAATGATAGCCCTTGTAGACAAAGTAACCGACGTGAATCCCGAAGAGAAAATCTTATTCGATGATCTAAAGGAAATTGAATCAAAGCGAAGCTTGAGGCTACTTTTACAGTATTTATTCACAATCTTCATACTCTTATTTTTATTTAAATTGCTTTTATTTATTTTTACCATTTTAATCTCATATTACAAACTCTTTTTTATTATTTTCGCCTGGTTAGAACCATTCAAACATTAAATTGTAATTTTCTAAGTCCCTAAGGATTTGACCCTTATTTCTCTATATTACGTTTTTTTTTTATTAATTAAAAATAAAAAATTATTTTAACATCCGAAACGACATTTGTCAACCCTTGAAGGCTCCAAAATCCATACTGTTCAGAGTTCACAGTTTTTCCATTCAAAATGCCGTCAACCAAACAGTGTGACCCACGAGAGGATGAATCTGTACATTTTAAATACTAATTAGAAAAACAAATACACAAATATTCCATTCCATTAAGATGCCTCGAATGAGAAAAGCAACAACACATGCCTCAGAGGAAAAAAAGAAATAACACAGAAATGATGACAACACATATACTTGAGGAAAAAAAGTTTTAGGTTTGAGCAATAACGTCTACATCTATCATTTTATTAAATTATTTGAGAATATAATTCGGATAATTAAATTATTTGATATCACCAATATAAAATCAATAATTTTTCAAAATACTTTAATAATTTTCAATACTAATCTTTTCGCTTTAATCAACCAATCAAATTAAAATTTGATTAGTTTAAGCAATGATATTTTGGCTTCAATAGTAAGATTTCTTTTAAAAGATACACACTTTAATAGTATGATTGAGGTTTAAAAAATTCAAGATTTCATGGGCAAATTTTATTATATGTAAATATTTTATATGAATTTAAATTTAATTTTATGCTGATTTTAGTTTTTTCAAATGTAAATTATAAATAGATTTATTATAATTAAGATTCAAATATATTTTGATTATTAATTTAATTATTTATTTTTATAATTTATTATTGTACTTGTAACTAGGGCTGTTCATTCGGTTAAAACCGAACTGAATTAATCATAACCGAATTAATCAAACTTTTTTTTTCTTTAACCGTTAACCGAACCGAACTTTTTTTCAAATATATTAACCGAACCGAATAAATTTCGGTTAATTCGGTTAATTTTCGAATTAACCGATTTTTTTAAAAAAATTTCTAATTTATATAAAAATTACTTTTTTTAATTTAAAAAAGTTTATAATTAATTTAAATAATATATAATTATAAAATAAAAATTTCAGATAAATTTTTTAATTAATTAATATTGATTTAGGTTTAAAAGTTATTGGATCTTAAATTATTAATTGGGTTTTAAATGGTTTGGGCTTAGCCCATATGTTATTTATAATATATATAATATTTTTTAATTAAAAAACAGTTTACAATTAATTTAAATAATATATAATTATAAAATAAAAATTTTATATAATTTTTTTAATTAATTAATATTGATTTAGGTTTAAAAGTTATTAGATCTTAAATTATTAATTGGGTTTTAAATGGTTTGGGCTGAACCCATATGTTATATATAATATATTTAAAATTTAATTTCGGTTAATTCGGTTAATTAACCGAATTCGAACCGAATTAACCGTTAACCGAATTCTAAAAATTTTCTTAACCGTTAACCAATCGAATTAATTCGATAACCGAACCGAATTAACCGAACTAATTCGGTTCGGTCGGTTAAACGAATTAATTCGGTTATTTGAACACCCCTACTTGTAACACTTTCAATATATATATATATATATATAAGTAATTATGCATTTATATTCAATTACAAATTGATTTATTTAGCTTATAAAAATGATTTAGTTACACATGCATGTTATAACATTTAATTGTAGGCTTCAGACCAAAGTTGTTTTTAAAATTTGAAAATTTTAGCTTTTAATTTTCTCAAAAGTAATTATGAGTAAAATTATTCATTTATACTCGTTTAAATTATAAATTATTGCACGAATCAGGTGATCTCGATGTTAAATGAATTGTTATTATTTCTTAAATTCTTCCAAACAGATATTACCATGTAATCATCCTAGACTAATAAAAAAATTATAAATTATTTTATATTTTTAAAAGCAATATTTACTTAATTTTTCCAACAACAACCTCACACATTTAAATTTTAAATTAAACTCGCAAATATTTTTAAAGCAATTTTCAAAACCCCTATTATTATTCATAGGTGCAAACCATGGAGATTGACAAGTGATATTTATATTGTTATGACAGTTAGATTTTTAACTTTTGATTAAACGATTATGAAATGTTCTTAAAAAATTATGAATCTTATATGCGATTTTAAAGTTTATAGACGATAAATGAAATTTTGATAAAAAGTAATAAACCAGGAGTGAAATTTACTCGACGTGTGTGTTTCTTATTGTAAAATGTAAAGAATGCACCATTATCAAAATGTTATGATTAATTAATTGAATTTCATAATTAATTTTACTAGTTAATACTTTATATTTAAAGTAAAATAAATAATTAGAAGTAGTTTGTTTTTATTCGAATATAATTTAAAATAAAACTCTTACTAACAATACTTATTTGTCATATATATAGAATACACTACCTTAAATTAAATAACATAAATAAATAAATCATCTTTTTTAATAGTATGATATTATTACAAAGTAATACATATTTCAAAAAAAAATTAACCATTAACAATATACATACACTTTACAGACAAAACTGATCAAACCCAAAACTTTTCAATTTGATTAAATCTCGATTTGATTGACACGATTGTTAATACTAGTTTGAGAAATTTATATATAATTTATTATAAATTATAAATTAGGTTCATACTTCAATTCTTTTTTCAAAATATAAATCAAACCTTTTTTGAAATTGGTTTTTTGTAGTTCGGAAATGTTTTTCTAAAAAAAATGTGTTTAAAAAGAATAATTTTATAATTTGTCAACCCAATAAAAAAATTAAATCAAAAGGTAAAAATATACCATAGCTGTCATTTTCTGATTTAATAATTATTTTGAAAATCGATGAAATTCAAATAACTTAAAATTTAACACGCAGTAAAGAAACGAGTGCATGGAAGTTGGCTCACGAACAATAGAAAGATAATTTGTATATAACGTCACAATAATTGATCCATAAAAAGGAACATCTTATATATATTTATATATATATATATATCCCTTGTGTCTGCACCAAACACTTCACTTGTTTAAGAAAATTAAAACAAAGACGGAAGGGCCGGGAGGGAAGGAGCATGAATGACAAAAGCAAAGAAAAAAAAATGTACTTCCCCTACCAATTATCTTCTTACCGAATTAATCCTCAAAATCGTGCATGTGATCTAAAAGGTAGTTCGCTGCTAGTTCCTCGTTCTTGTTGCACGCAAAGAACACCTGGAGGACAGTTGCTCGATCAAATCCCATCGCTTCAAGCTGTAAAACAAGCCCATCATAAATTGTTATGAGCAAAACACATGGCTCGGAAGCGAAAAATAAGTATAGATAATAGAAGAAAACCCTAACCCGTTCTATGGCTTCACGTTCCTCAGGTGTGACTTGTACAGCTTGTGGCATAGCATCAGCCAATTGCCCCAATATGTTCCTATGATACGGAAGATAGCATATAAGCATTCAATACACATGCACAACTAGGTTCAAGAACTTGGCAACAAAAAGTGATAGGACTCACCCCTCTCCACCTTCTGCAGGTTCGTTGATCAAGCGAAGAAAATCAGCCTGATGCTCTTGAATAAGTCTCATTAAATGAGGGTTTTGCTTCCCCAACTCTTGAAGCATAGGCTGCAATAAAATAAACAAAGCAATTCAGAAAAGATGCGAAAAAAACGAACGCACATGACTAAGTAGAAACAACAGATCAGAGAATAACCTGCAATATCTGGGGGTTGGCCTGCACCATCGATCGTAAAGCTTGGAACTGAGAAAGAGAGGCAAAATGAGTGTGGTTCTAGGTAGGAATTTACATGAAGAGAGAAAAAGAAAGAGACAGACCTGTTGACTGTTGCGTAAGAAATCAAGAGTGCCTGCCTCTGCACCACCGGCACCCATGTTGGGAAGGCCCTGTATAAAGAAAGGACCATTGAGTTGATGGTTAAGTTTTCTCGTCTAGTTTAACAAATATTTACTGCATATCAACTCTACCTGGGGAAAGAGGTCTAATGGATTTGCATTGGGTCCACTTGTGGGAACAGATGCTGCTTGTGCAGGCTGTTGAGGCTGTGCTTGAGGGTTGGTTGTTTGCCCAACTACAGGGCCACGGGCCACGGGTGGAGCTTCAGCTTGCTCTGGGATACCCTAAAATTTTGCAATCAATGGATAAGGAAATGAGAAGCGGCAGCTAAAAGGTAGGAAATAAAATGAAAGCTTCTCTCCAACCAAAGAGAGACTGTTCCTAAGTCATGTACATACATGGTAAATGAAATATAAAAAAAAATCACAAACGAAAATAACACTGTAAGAGAGGACAAGAAGTGCCAAATAGCGCAAGAATAAAATGGCATTAGAACCCACCATATTATAGATATCTAGCTTTCCCATCATTCATAATTCACACTCATCCCCACGTCAAAAGGGACTAAAATGGAAGAAATTGCATTTTGGGCACATGGAAATTTAAACTTAGACCAACTATAAATGATAAAATGGCATAATCATCAGTCCCACAGAACCTCTTTATCGAGCTCAGTCAATTAGTAATTACTGTATCTAAACTAATAAGAAAAATAAACTAATGGTAGTAACAACGTGTCAACCATATGCAAAGTTGGTAACAGAATGCACACAAGAAAGGGCTTGCTTCCCCCTCTTCAAGTAAGATACAAGGAATACTTACAGAATACAAATATTCAACAGCTCTCTCTGGGTTGTTATAAGCTGCTCGAAGGGCCTGGACAACGGTATCTCTATCCCAGGTTCCCCCACCCATGTCAAGAATTTGTTGGATTGCTCCCTCCAAGTTGTTTCCTGCTACCAGATTAGAAGCTGCTTGGCCGTAAACATCAGTTTCTGACCTGTTCCCAAAGATATAATAGAAGATATTACAAAAATGATGGCAAAAAAGAGGAAAACCAGGAGCTTTCCTATTGTAAAGCACTTAGAGACAATTAAAGAAAAAGCATGCCTTCCACCCTTTAAAACAGGAGGATACATGGAATTACAATCCGAGAAAAGGTTACTCACGCAGTGGTATTTGATGCAACAGGTGCAGATTCAGAGACAGGTGCAGCACTGAAAATCACATAACAAGCAAATTAATTAGTTACAAAGCTGTTATGCCTCAACAATAGTGTGGAGTAGGACTTACACAGCTGAAGTTGCAACAGGTGTAGAAGAAACTGTTGCTGGAGCAGGTGCCGGTGCTGGTGCCGGAGCTGGTGCTGGTGCCGGAGCTGGTGCTGGTGCTGGTGCCGGTGCTGGTGCCGGAGCTGGTGCACTTGCTTGGGGAGCCTGCAAAGATGACATTTATTCCAAGATGAGAAAACAGCAG